CTCTGTCTTCTCATTTTGCTTAACTTACTGTGTTTGGGGTCTCCTTTTCGCAGGCTGCAGGTTCGTAGTTCCCATTGTTTTTGGTGTCTGTCCCCAGTGGCTAAGGTTGGTTCAGTGGGTTGTGTAGGCTTCCTGGTGGAGGGGACTAGTACCTATTCTGGTGGATGAGGCTGGATCTTGTCTTTCTGGTGGGCAGGTCCACGTTTGGTGGTGTTTTGGGGTGTCTGTGGGCTTATTATGATTTTAGGAATCCTCTGTGCTAATGGATGGGGTTGGGTCCCTGTCTTGCTAGTTGTTTGGCATTGGGTGTCCAGCACTGTACCTTGCTGGTTGTTGAGTGGAGATCTCTGGGAGATTTTCACCGTTTGATATTACGTGGAGCTGGGAGGCCTCTTGTGGACCAGTGTCCTGAACGTGGCTCTCCCACCTCAGTGGCACAGCCCTGACGCCTGGCTGGAGCACCAAGAGCCTCTCCTCCACACGCTCAGAATAAAAGGGAGGAAGAAAGGAAAGAAAGAAAGAAGAAGATAAAATAAAATAATGTTATTAAATTAAAAATTATTAAGAAAAAAATTTTTTTAATAAAATTAAAAAGAAACGGACAGAGAGAACCCTAGGACAAATGGTAAAAGCAAAGCTATACAGACAAAATCACGCACAGAAGCATATACATACACAGTCACAAAAAGAGAAAAAGGGAAAACAATATATATATCATTGCTCCCAAAGTCCACCTCCTCAATTTGGGATGATTTGTTGTCTATTCAGGTATTCCACAGATGCAGGGTATATCAAGTTGATTGTGGAGATTTAATCCACTGCTCCTTAGGCTGCTGGGAGAGATTTTCCTTTCTCTTCTTTGTTCGCACAGCTCCTCGGGTTCAGCTGTGGATTTGGACCCGCCTCTGCGTGTAGGTCGCCGGAGGGCGTCTGTTCTTCGCTCAGACAGGACGGGGTTAAAGGAGCAGCTGATTTGGGGGCTCTGGCTCGCTCAGGCCGGGGGAAGGCAGGGGTACGGATGCGAGGCGAGCCTGCGGGTGCAGAGGCCGGCATGACGTTGCACCAGCCTGAGGCGTGCCATGCATTCTACCGGGGAAGTTGTCCCTGGATCACAGGACCCTGGCAGTGGTGAGATGCACAGGCTCCCAGTAGGGGCGGTGTGGATAGTGACCTGTGCTTGCACACAGACTTCTTGTTGGCTCTAGCAGAAGCCTTAGCGTCTCCTGCCCATCTCTGGGGTCCACACTGATAGCCGCGTCTCGCATCCGTCTCTGGAGCTCCTTTAAGCTGCGCTCTTAATCCCCTCTCCTCGTGTACCAGGAAACAAAGAGGCAAGAAAAAGTGTCTTGCCTCTTCGGCAGCTCCAGACTCCCTCCTGGCTAGCTGTGGCACACTGGCCCCCTTCAGGCTGTGTTCACTCAGCCAACCCCAGTCCTCTCCCTGGGATCTGACCTCCGAAGCCTGAGCCTCAGCTCCCAGACCCCCGCCCAACCCAGCGGGTGAGCAGACAAGCCTCTCGGGCTGGTGAGTGCTGGTCGGCACCGTTCCTCTGTGCGGGAATCTCCCCGCTTTGCCCTCCGCACCTCTGTTGCTGCGTTCTCCTCCATGGCTCCAAGGCTTCCCCGCTCCACCACCCGCAGTCTTGGCCCACGAAGGGGCTTCCTAGTGTGTGGAAACCTCTCCTCCTTCACAGCTCCCTCCCACTGGTGCAGGTCCCGTCCCTATTCTTTTGTCTGTTTTTGTTTTTTCTTTTGCCCTACCCAGGTACGTGGGGAGTTTCTTGCCTTTTGGGAGGGAGGTCTGTGGTCTTCTGCCAGCGTTCAGCAGGTGTTCTGTAGGAGCTGTACCACATGTAGATTTCTGATGTATTTGTGGGGAGGAAGGTGATCTCTGCGTCTTACTCTTCCGCCATCTTGAAGCTCCTCACCAATAAAGTTTTTTGTTTTTTTTTTTTGCGGTACGCAGGCCTCTCACTGTTGTGGCCTCTCCCATTGTGGAGCACAGGCTCCGGACGCACAGGCTCAGTGGCCATGGCTCACGGGCCTAGCCGCTCCGCGGCATGTGGGATCTTCCCGGACCGGGACACGAACCCGTGTCCCCTTCATCAACAGGCAGACTCTCAATCACTGCGCCACCAGGGAAGCCCACCAATAAAGTATTTTTAAGGTATTTACGTTGTGGGTTTTTTTTTTAATATTTATTTATTTATTTTTGGCTGCATTGGGTCTTCGTTGCGCACGGGCTTTCTCTAGTTGCAGCGAGTGGGGGCTACTCTTTGTTGCCCGGGTTTCTCATTGCAGTGGCTTCTCTTGTTGCGGTGCATGGGCTCTAGGCGCACGGGCTTTAGTATTTGTGGTTCACAGGCTCAGTAGTTGTGGCACGTGGGCTGTAGAGTGCAGGCTCAGTAGTTGTGGCACACGGGCATAGTTGCTCCATGGCATGTGGGATCTTCCCAGACCAAGGCTCGAACCCATGTCCCCTGCGTTGGCAGGCGGGTTCTTAACCACTGGGCCACCAGGGAAGCCCTTTATGTTGTTTCTTAAGACATAATGCTATTGCATACTTTAATAGACTACAGTATAGTGTAAAAATAACTTTTACATGTATTAGGAAACCAAAAAATCCATGTGGCTCACTTTATTGCGATATTCGCTTTGTTGCAGTGGTCTGGAACCATACCGACAATATCTCTGAGATGTGCCTGTATACACATTTTCTTTATTCATTCATCCGTAGATAGACAATTGGGTTGTTTCCTTATCTATCACAAATAATGCTGCAGTGAACAGGGGGGTGCCACACTGTTGTTGACCTTGTTCTAAAATGCCTAGTTCCACTCTCCTGCCTTAGAACTCTTGTTGGTGTTGGGATCTCCTAGTTGAGGAGTAGGGCTGGCAGGACCTGCTCCAGCAACATCACCTTCCATCCAGAATCCTGAACCTGGAGGTAGAACCGGGTTAGCTGACAGTGTCCTGAGCCCATGAAGACTGGAGGGTGGGGGCGGGTTGGCACACGCAGAATTGACAGTGGTCTGCCTCTTTCCCTCCGAATTATTGGCTGGGCAGAAACTGGGTTTGAATGGAGTTGAACCTAGTTAGGTTGAACTTTCCTTAACATTAAAGACTAAGATATCAAGGCAGTGACCAGATCTTCAGCAACTCTCACGTCCCAGTAAGACAAGTCAAAACCCCACTGGGCCCCCCTTGCCAGACCACCTTTCTAACTTTCAAGATGTTTCAGAGGGTGAATGACTCCTTAGTCATCCTTGAAGGAAGCCTTCTGTCTAAAAATCCAACATGTTCCTTCCTATTAATTATTTACTTCAGACTGAAGATGGGGTTTTAAAATAGGGGCTGCCTCCCTCAGTATGACTTTGAAAGGGGTTGAGTTTTTACCATGCTCAGCTCCCCCCATCACCAGGGTGACATTGTCCCTAGTGAGGAGGGGCAGGGCAGCTCGACTGCTGTCAGAACACTAACATGTCTTTACCCTGTTACCAGGCAAAGCATTAACAGCAAGGACACAGTGCAATTCACTAGCTGGTTTGCATGTAGGACATGCAAAATAGTTAAAGAATACTAAAAGTGGGAGGACAGGAACAAAGCAATAAGCCTAGACCAGAGCTTGGCACATATAGCCTACGATCACTAAGGGCGGGCTGAAGGGAGGGGTGCAGTATTAATTTTCCTAAGATATTTGAGCAATAATGAAATAGTTTCTTCCATTTCATCAATAGCACATAGATTTGCATGTTGTGTTCTTCTATTAAGACATTAACTGTTCAATATACTAAACCAATACCTTTTTTCCCTCTGATCAAAGTTTTGGTTTAAGAATGGGAGGGCCAAGTGTTGGAGATATCAGAGGGGTTTAATTCTCAGAAATACATCCCCTGTGGCCATGGGTCACCCTGTCATCATAATCCTGGATGGACCCTATAATGCCATATTTATTCTGCAACCCAACTGCAGTTGGGTTCCTCTGGTGCCACTGCAGCCCCAAATACCTGGGCCACCCATGCCATCCTTGCCTTGTCTGCCCTTGCCTCCTCCACCTATGCCTTCCTTTGGCTTAGCTTTGCTTGGCCTGGCATGGGTCCCTGTCATCAGCATTCATTTTCTAGTCCCTATCTTGTAAGACATGTTTTCTATGAGTTTTTCCAAAGTATTTTTTTGCCAGATTGAAATTTTTCATAGCACCTCAAGAGCAGTTCACCAAATGCCTAATAAATGAACTGAATAAATGAAAACAGTGCACTGTGTTTTTAATAGGGCATATTTTTTGTATTTTCAGTACAGATGTGAATTCTCTTGTATATTTGTTTTTATGTGCCAAATGGGGTTAGTATGATATGGGTAAGAATTGCTAAGGAATGTCAAGAAGGTCTCTTTTCATGAGGTGACGTCCCTAAGCACTATCACTAGACCCTGCACTTCTCAGATACATACACATATAAGATGAGGTGGGAAAAGTCCCTAGTGAGAGAACAGTGTGCTGCAAAATGGGACCAAGCTCCATTCATGATGAGGAGCTCAGGCACAAGCCTGGACTCTAAAGGAACCTTCCTAAGAAATTACTATTCATAGGGCTTTATAGGAAGGTAGCATCCAAATATTCACCTAGTTTTGTTCTAGATGCTCCAGATTCTGTTCACTACTCTCCCTTTTTGTGAAGGATATAGGGGAACAAACCATTCTGGCCCAAAGGAACTGCTGCTTCAAAGGGAACACAAGAGGTGCCTCCATTGAGGCCAGAAAGAGGCTCTTCTCCCTTTTCACCCCTCCCCCCACCACAGGAGCCATATTGTTGTGTCTTCCCTGGCTCAGAAGTGACAATTATGCCTTCAAATGTATTTTGTCTCATTCAGCGTCCTTGAAAGGACGCTAGATCTGACGATTAAACACTAAAAGGGAACATTTTGGTTTACTGCTGCTGGAAGCAAGAGGGAGGCCCTGATTAATATTCCAGATTAATAGATCACTGAAAAGAAGTGGTCAGACCTTGGCTTTCTTCATGCTGTCTTCCTCATGTGAAACTGCCAGGCTAGAAAACAAAATAAAAATGAAGTGTGATAAAAAACTGAGGAATTACTGTTAAATTTTTAGGCATAGTAATGGTAATGTGGTTATGTTTAAAAAAGAATGTCTCTCTTTTAGAGAAGCATGCTGAATTGTTTATAAATGAAATGATATCTGGGATTTGTTTCAAAATAATTGGGAGGTGGTGGCAACTTCTCACAAGTTGATAATTGTTCAAGTTGGTGATATGTACATGGGAGATCATTACACTATTCTCTATACTTGTATATATATTTGACCTTTTCCATAATAAAAATTACATTAAAAAAACCTGATCATCTGTGTTTCTTCTTTTTCTTTTGCTGGGCTTTTTTTTTTTGCTTTCCTTTGTATCTTCATCTGAAAATTAAAACACATTAAAATTGAAAAAAAAGTTTACCTCTAAACATTAATACCTTTTTATAAATTTATTTATGATTTATTTATTTACTTATGGCTGTGTTCGGTCTTCGTTGCTGCGTGCGGGCTTTCTCTAGTTGCAGCGCGCAGGGGCTACTCTTCGTTGTGCCACACAGGCTTCTCATTGCAGTGGCTTCTCTTGTTGCGGAGCACAGGCTCTAGGCGTGCAGGCTTCCGTAGTTGTGGCACGTGGGCTCAGTAGTTGTGGCTTGCGGGCTCTAGAGCACAGGCCCAGTAGTTGTGGCACACGGGCTTAGTTGCTCTGTGGCATATGGGATCTTCCTGGACCAGACCTCGAACCCAAGTCCCCTGCATTGGCAGGCAGACTCCTAACCACTGTGCCACCAGAGAAGTCCCCATGTTAATACCTTTGACAAGATAAATATGCTTTTCCTGTCCCATTTGTTATATCAGAGAAATTCACTCATTCAAACGCTTATGTCACAAACCGTGCTAGGCACTGGAAGCATAGAAATTAAAGTCACACTAGGTATTAGATGATATAGGGAATTATTAACTTACTGGTGAGATAATGGTATTGTAGTTAAGTAGGAAAATGTCATTTTTTAAAGCGTTGCAGACAGAAATATTTAGTGTATTTTACCTTGACTATCTCAACAAAAAAAATCCCTATCTGAAACAAGTATGTCAAAATGCTAACAAATGTTAAACCTGAGTGACAAGTACTGTACATGGCATTAATACTACTACTCCCTTTATTTTTCTCAATGTTTGAGTATTTTCATGATGTGTGTGTTTGAGGGTTTGCTTTCCAGGAGCACATTCTAGTGGAGGAGACACAGGGAAAGAGGCAACTAGAATCTGAGTGAGAGGGAAGCATGGGGTGCTCTGGGCATACAGAAGAGTCTCAAAATCAGGCTGATTTGGGGATAGTGGTTGAGGAATGGTTGACCAGGAAAAGGTGACTCTTAAGCTAGTTATTTTTAAAATCAGTTTCATTACAAACGTAATGCATGCCCATCATAGCAATGAGTAAGCCAAGCCGCGTGCAGGGAGAGACCGGCATTGTAGGCAGACGGACTCTCTGTATCAAGCGACAGAGTCAAGAGAAAGGACGTGCAGTATCAAGGAGATGGAAAGTCATCCTTAGGCCAAAGAGGACGCTGCAGGAGAGCCACAGGGTACATGATGCGAGAGATCAATTGGTGTTGCAGTTTTCTTATGACAGGGCTGAAAGTAAGCTCATCACACGAGATGAATTGTGCAGAAGCACAGCAGTAGAGGGCTGCTGCTCGCTCAGGCAATACAGTGCCGTCTCATCCTGCTGTGGTGACTTTTATTTAAGCATTATCTATGTTTACATCTTAAGACTTAAAATTTTAACATTCCAGAAAAGCCAAAGCAGCAATATATGCTTTTATTGATTAGACAAGCAACAGTGGGCCTTCTTGAAGACATGCCGTGCTTCATCCTTGAGCTCACAAGCAGCACAAGGACATCTCCTTGTGTTCCCATCATTCTGATTATACTGAGGTCATTTCATGGATCAGCGCCCAAAGTATCCAGGACTGCCTGCAGTTCTGGCTTACTCGCTAACCCTCGGTCTGCCGAGGGGTTCATGGGTCACGTCTCCTTTCCATGTCCTCAGTTATTCCTCTACAATTGGGATCTGACTTTACCCTGAAGGCCATGGAGAACTGTGGAAGGATTTTAAGTAGGGACCGCCATGCTCAGATCTGCGCTTCAAGAAAGCTCAGCCTTCCAGCAGTGAGGAAGAAAGGTGACAGTGAGGGCCAGGAAACCCAGGTGACACCAGAGGAAGGGGTGCCTTAGTGTAACGTGTCCCCAGAGGAGGCACCCTCTGTCAGTCATCAGCCAGGAGAGGGCACAAAAAGGTGACTTTTTTGTGATGTGCCGCCCCACAGGAAGTGTGATACATAAATCAGCTGCTGGCCAGAGGGAGTCCCCTATGGTGTACCTTTTTGAAAATTGCACAAAGGTGCCCACTTAGTGTGAGAATCTCACAAAAGAGCTGCTCCACTGGGCTGAGGCAGCCCCCTGTGGCTTGGCTTAGCACCACACGTCTCACAGACTAACCCCAACATGGTTCGGTGCCACATGCCTCGTACAGCTACACACAACCAATCTGGAGTCACACGGCTTAGGTTTGAATCCCAACTGTGTGGCCTTGGGGCGGTACTTATAACCTGCTCTGGGCCTCCATGTCTCCATCTCTAAGATGTGTCCTACAGTGACTGTGTGGATTAAATAGCAATAATGCGTATCAAGCACTTAGCAGGGTGCCCAACACCAAGTCAGTGAGTGTTCAAAACTCTTGGCTATTATTGTTTTTAAGAACCTTCTTCTAAAATAAGCTTTCAAGAAGTACAACTAGTTTTGAAGCAAGGCTCACAGAAGGATGTTGGCTTTCTTACCACTGGAGTCTGTTTCAGAATCAGAGTCACTGTCACTATCATCAGAATACTTCTTGTGTTTTCTTTTAGATGATTTTTTCTTCCTCTTTTTCTTGGACCTTTCTTTTGAATGACTAGACTTCTTCTTCTTCTTTTCTTCTACATAAAATACAAATAAAAAACTAACTTCTAAAGAAGTATTTCTGAGCATCAATTTTATTGTATTAAAAATACTGAAAAGATGGGCTTCCCTGGTGGCGCAGTGGTTGAGAGTCCGCCTGCCGATGCAGGGGACACGGGTTCGGGTCCCGGTCCGGGAAGCAGCTGGGCTCGTGAGCCATGACCGCTGAGCCTGAGCGTCTGGAGCCTGTGCTCCGCAACGGGAGAGGCCACAACAGTGAGAGGCCTGTGTACCGAAAAAAATATATATATATACTGAAAAGGAATTGATGACAGGCGATTTGAGTAAAGTCTAATATTCAACTATTTATAAACGTATTTTTTAAACTTCTCAATAAAAAAGTCCTATATTTAAAAAATACCTTCTGAAGTAGAAGCTAAAGTGGTGCTTTTCTTTGGCTCTTTGTCCTCTACTGGTGTATGTTCATCAGAGCTGAATTTAAAGAAAACTGTAGTAAGAATCAGAAAAGTGATAAAATATGGACCACAGAGTATAAAAATATACACTTAAAAATTTTCAGTAACAAACTGATTGTCCAAGAACCATTCAAAGCCAGCACCTGACTGCTTTTGTAACAGTACAGCTTATTGGCCAACCACCTTCATAACAGTAGAATAATCATTTATATTTGCATAATGCTTTCGAGTTAACAAAATGCTATTCACACTGAAAGCAGCATGAAGGATTTATATTTTCAGAAGAAACCACAGGGCAAATGCAGGGAAATAGGAATCATAAGGAAAAATGAAAGAAACTGGACATAAGAAGGCTGAGGGAAGACTTCATAATTTCATTCTACATGTGGAACAGACATACGGTACAGTAGCAACTGTTGTGTCTCCCCAGAGTAAGAACCTAACACACTACAGTATAGAGATTTCATCCTGTTGTAAGAGAATTCTGAAAATGAGTATTATTAGCCTTCTACAATAGCTTAAAAAGGGCATTTCCGTATCACAGTCTTTTCCTCTTAACGTCACATCTGGAATAATTTAGGTATTGCCTAGAAAGTTATTTTTAGGGCACCTTCCAACTCTAATTCTCTGATTTCATTTTCTTATAAGGATATCTGTAAGTACAAGTTTCTAATAATAATGCTTTATCAACTAGTCACAAATTAGAAGTTTATCTGTGAAGCACATTGTCTCAACTCAACCTAAAGTAGACACGGAAACAGAGGAGAGGGAAGCAGCAGCTAATAAATAGCACCAAAGAGAAAAGAAACAAGGAAAAAGAAGAAGCATTAAGCCTTCAGATAGTATTGTATATAGGAAAATTAACTAAACAAAACCATACTGGCATATTCATCTTTAAAATCCCTTTGTAATGCTAAAATCTGGCATGCAATCTGTTATTGGGTTAGTTGAAGAAAAAAATAATTCAAAATAACATAAATGCATTATTTGTCTTAACGCTGAACCCTTCTATGAATAGGAAATTAGCACCCCATGAATTATAATTTAAAAAGAACAATTAGCATGCTAAAATCCACTGGCAACATGTTTTAATTCTTAGGTATGTTCCATATTTTTAAAACTTAAGGGACATAAAAGGATAAATCACAAGAAAGAAGAAATATGTGAGACGCACTTAAAGTTCCTCACTTAATTAAAAAAATTTAAAATAGGCACTGGATTTAATAAATGTTATAACATATTTTTAAAATACATTTTTAAAAGACTTACTGTGGTGCAGTATTGTATTAGTCAGCTAGGGCTGCCATAACAAAATACCATAGACTGGGTGGCTTAAACAACAGAAATTTATTTTCTCACCATTCTGGAGGTTAGAAATCCAAGATCGAGCATTGGTTCAAGATGGCGGAGCAGAAGGACGTGCTCTCACTCCCTCTTGTGAGAGCACCGGAATCACAACTAACTGCTGAACAATCATCGACAGGAAGACACTGGAACTCACCAAAAAAGATACCCCACATCCAAAGACAAAGGAGAAGCCACAGTGAGACGGTAGGAGGGGTGCAATCACGATAAAATCCAATCCCATAACTGC